ACATCCAGTGGAGAAAAATAAATCCACCAATCCAGTGTCCTCCTCAGTCAATAGGAAATCAAAATCAGTAGAAAAAGTGGAATATGTTTCACAGCAGATTCAATTTCTCCTTTAGTTCAACCTGCTGTACGAGCTACAGGAAAAAACACACCGATAACGACATCCTCTGAGCAAGAGTAACACACCTATTAAAAAAACAATAGAGGAGCAGCAGCAGCGTGTGCAAGAAAACTGAAAACAACCTGATGTCTGAGAGAAAAACTGAGAAAACAACTGAAAATATAAAAAAAATAAAGAGGTACAGGGTGGATCCAGGCACCCAGCGTTGGGATTATCAGCTCTGTTCACAGCCTAAAGGCAACAATCCCTGTAATCTGGGAACTAACAAACAAATAGCACACAACTTAACTTTCAGATCAGCGTCCTGTGAGAGGGAGAGCAACCAGAGGCTGGAGTGACTGCTGGCGTCTTTTCCTCTAGTCTAGGAAAAAAAAAAAGAAGAAAAAAAAAAACCCCAACAGAAACTGGCACCTCCTGGAACCTCCCAGCAGAGGTCATCTCCTCCTACTACTCCCCTCATAGTAACAGCAGCAGTACTTGTAGTAACAGTATGAGTAATGATACAGAAGATACCAGCAGTCACAGTACCAGTATTGTGGCAGTAAAAGTAAAGAAAAGTAACATAAACATACACTCACTACTCTTCAAATGTTCTGAACTGTTGTACATAAACATGAGTACCTCTCTGTACACAGTGACTGTTTAATTAGTTACACGTGTACTAATGTGATCCAGTACAACTGTTCTGGAATAAAATGTAATTTTACAGTGTTACATTAATGTGCAGTTCTCGACACCGTCATAAAATGTGTTAACGCATCTATATGCTTCAGTGCTGAGGTCAAATGTAGAGATGGCGCTGAACCAGTTGCACATTCTATTCAGAGGTGATTCTGAACCTGGAGGATCAACAGTTAAAGGAAACACACCGACCTTTAGTTTGAATCACTTTAAAACTGATTAGAGAAACTACTCACTTCCGGAATTACTTTTATTTTTTCTCCATTAACCAATTCGTCATTTGGTTCAGGTTGGTTTTTAATTGATTAATAGTTTCAGCTGTAGATTTAATACAAAGCTTTGGATTTATTATTACCCCGGTGCTGGTGTTTGTTCTGTCTATCTTTTGTAATTGACCTTTTCTTACACAAGACTGAGGACGTGAGATCTCTCCCAGAATTATTCTCACTTGTTGTCCGGCTCCGGTTTTTGTTGAGCGGGTCAGAAGCTTCTGTAAACAAACCTTTGGATATGAAACTGAAGAGGATATAAATATATGCAGAGTGACAGAGAGAGAGAAAAGTCTTTAATTGCTTCTACTGCCGTTGCTAAATAATTGTAATAACAGGTATTCAAATCTTATAAGAATATATATGAGAATGTTTGGTCTTTGACTGTGAGCTCGGTCTGAAACGAGAGAGCGAGAGATTGTGAGAAATCCTCTCTCTTCCTGACAGGAAGTTTGGAGCGGAAATCTCTCCCGGTCGTCCCAGTGGGGCGGTGTGATTTGGGCGGATTTCCTCGTCAGCTGACACAACTCCTCGTTCGTTCTCAGAATGAAACAAGGACAAATGTAAAAGCTGTGTTTCTTTCCTGTTTTATCTTAGTTTGATTTCGACTCAACAGACGACAGACCGATCGAGGTGATTCTCACCAGAGGGAGGTTTAAAGGTCAAACTGCAAGCAGTCAGAACAATGGCAGGAAGCAGGCTGGTGTTCGGAGGCTGTCAGTAAACCACTGATGAGATTTACTGCCTTGCTCACTGGTTCTTCAGCAGTAGAGAAAACTTTTTGACTGTTTTGTTTTACCTTCACAAATATAGCTGGCAATGCCATTCATTTTGTAGGAAAAAAAAAGTTTTGTCTTGGTAATTGTGCAAAAAGAAAAGTTAAGAGATCACCAGAGTTATTAGCAACATTTTCGCCGCTGTCTGTTTGTTCATTGGTTGTTTTTTCAGGAGAATTATGCAAAAACTACTGAACTAATTTCCACAAAACTCGCGGAGAGGATGAGACATGGAGCAAGAAAGAACTCATTAAATTGTGACGACAGGTATCTATGATTTGGGGAAAATTGGTTTGGGTTTGATTAGATTTGAGGGAACTGTTGGACCTTGGCCAATTCATTTTGAGGGGATATCAGTATCTGCAGCAAAACTATCAATCTATCAAACAGTTGTGGAGACATTCAATCACATTTCATGATCCCTCGAGGAGTTGCAGACACACAAACCAACATTGATGTCTGGAGTTAACGCTTCTAAAAAACTAAGCAAAATCCTGAACCCTGGGTCAAATTTGACAAGTTTGGACGGAATCTAGTGTCAGTTAATGATGATTTCTAAATCTTTATTCATAATGAGAATACAGACTCGAGAGAATACGCACTGACCTCACAAGGCTTAATTCAACACGACCAAAACTACTGAAGCTCTACCGCACGTTATAGGACAAGAGTGTAGAGTGATTTCCTCCTGACATAACATATCACTTTTATCTTTATGTTTAGCCAATACTTTTACATTATATCTGACTGCGCGTGCTGCACACACACTGATCTTGTCCATTGCCGTGGTTGTTTTCTTCTCTCTGGTCTGTGATATGCTCCAGCAGCTCTGTGTTGCCTTGAGGTTGCCCGATGAGTCCACAACAAACTAAGAATTAAAACACTGAGTGAAGGGCGCCACTGATAATAGCCATCTTTGGGTTTTACATAATCACACACACACTGCCGACAAAGTAAGAAAAACATGAATAATGGAATGAAAAGAGAGAGAGAGGGACCTGAGGCAGAGGTCGTGGATGTCTCTCAAACCCGTGACCGTCTCATCCTCAACTCAAGCGTCCAATCAGCAGAAAACAGCCAAGCAGGCAAGAAAAACCTGGAGAGGAAATGAGTAAGGGTTTACTATCAGTGTCACATCTGTGTTCCCTGGTGTCCCTTTGATTCAGTTGTTAAGATAAACCACATCCCCTCAAGACGTCCAGCATGCAGGGCCGTGCACAGAGAGTCTGGGGCAGGTGGTCTTCTCTGTTTCTACATTTAGATATAGTGTAAATAAAGTAGCCTATGTACGCTGCACATGGAGGATGTGCAATGGTGAGGCCTTAAAGCACAACTATCACCCGGTAGATGCTGTAGAGGTACAGCAGGACACGGACGTGTAGCCTTGACTCTGCAGGGCGCTCGACTCACATTCAAATTGTTGGATCGTGTCGTGTGAAGCAGTAGGAACTCAGGCTAAAATGAACTTTCATCTTATTAAACTGAACTCTAACCTGAACCAAACTATTAATCTAACCTGTCAACGACAATCATGTTAAACTGAACTTTCAGCTAATCAAGGAAGCGTTTACTTAACTGTTAACTCAGAATTTAACAAATTGTTGAGCTGCAGCGTCAACATGAACAAAGTCAACCTGCGTTCAAGATCTGCTGCTAAACAACTGTTGACCTAAAGCTAATGCTATGCTACCTGAACTACCCGACATGTTGACTAACCAGTTCTTTAACAGTTAACAAATGTTTAGCAGCTAAAACCAAACTCATAGATAACCTGAAATAAAGATGTGTGGACCGTTAGCTCACCTGTACCAAACTCTTATAGCCTAGCCTGAATTGTTAGCCGACTTGAAATAGCTAAGCTAAAATGTTGTCCACTGAACTTATTCGACTTAACGGAACCTTCATTTAAACTAATCCGTTAACTTCACAACCAACTGAACCATACAATCTGCTAAATACAACCGTCAATTACGTTCTCAGGAAAAATAACCGGAACTATTTGCGGTGAGGCTAAAGTTCTCACAACCACCAGAGTAAAGCGATCCACTTAAAGCTTCTCTGAGAAAGAAAATGTTTATAAAGTTTTAATTAAATTAGAATATGAAAAGACATTTGATAAATTAGGTGCTAACTGCAAAACAATTTATCCAGAGGAGTTTTTCCATCTCTGACAGTTTCACCTTTTGTTACAAAATGCGTTGTCATGTCATCTTGGCACGATGTCACTTTGTTCCAAACAGAAATCCTGCTCAGATCCAGCGTTTCCATGCGATAAACTATAAAATGTGATGATGTTTTTTTTTCATGTGAAAGCTGTGGCTGAAATTCTTTCACTGGTCAGACCAACCGGAGCCCATCAAGGCCAAGCAGAGGTCAGATAGCCATTTTGCTGATCAGACATTTCCTCGTACAGTATCTCTGCCCTCGGCCCGTTAAAGTGTCCCCAAAAAGGAAATTAGTCAAACTTTATGGCGAGAAGCTCCAACAGACAGGAAATAGAGGAAGTTGAATCAGTTGAAAGGTGGCAGCGCGTTTCGTGCTGCTGAACCGCCGAGTCATCAAAACCTCAATGAGCGGCGGGAGCGACGAACTGCTGACGAGAACCTTTGGTGAATTCTTTTTTTTGTGCACCATGAAAAACAGATCTTTCCCAGCAGTGTCGGCGCTGGGAGTCAGTCAGACTCAGGTCGTGAGGAGAAGTCCCAAACGACCCGGACAGACATTAAAACCCAACATACCAACCTGAGCTGTATCACAGAACATCGGCTATATTTTCACCGTGTTTCACATTTTTAAGGAAACAATTAGGAGCTTTCAAAGTCGTAAGAAGTTAATTCAAGTCAAGGGATTATTCTATTGCTATTTTTAACATTGCAAGATTAATCAATTTTCCAGGGTGTAAATCATGGATCTTGATGAAAAATGAGATCAGGCATTTTTAATAAGTTTTTTGCAATTTTTGTAGCTTGATTGAATTTAAGGGGGCCGCACTTATTTTATAATAAAAGCATGTAAATGTAACCGTTAAATATTATTACTGCAAGAATTTGGAATGGAAAACCTAATTTCAATATAAAAAGAAGAAACACCATTGGTACTGAAATGTGGAATAATCACACTAAAGCATTATAACCAAACCAAACAGAAACTCTTGTAACATGGGGAGTTTTCAGCTTCACTTTAATTCAGTGGCATTCCCCTTTAACAAGACAATGACATGTAACATAAACAGCGATGAAGAATGGGGAGGTCCAACAGTGGTCGGCTTCCCATTTGTCAACAGTAAGAAAATAAAACATGATATACAATAAAACAAAACACAAAAATAATAAGTGATGACGATATTGAATTTCAAACATTTCAGAGTTCATGTTGGAAATATCAGGACCTTCGTGTCTTGGTACAAAATCTCCCAAAGCATTAATTAAATTCATATAATAATAAAAAGCTTAAATTTACAGTTAAGTAATACTGCTTCAATTATAATGTGCAAGAAATAAAATGTTCAGAAAGCAGATTGTGTAGAGCAGCTGTGTGTGTGAGTGTGTTACTTAAAATAACAGTCCAACATTTTAAGAAATCCTCTTGCTTCTTGTTTCAGACTGAACAAATGGAAACATACAAAAGTGCTTTTTGGTTTTAAGATCAACTTTACATATATAACAAGTAAATCAAAAAGCTTTGGAGTTGGCAAACTTTTTTTTTTTAACACTTTCGATTGACCATCCGAAGAATCAGAACAAGAGGATTTACCAGAAATGACGAACTACTCCTTTAAGAAGATTAAAATCGGACTCCTGCGGACTCTCTGCAGCTCCCCCTTCTGTGCAACACCCATCTGTCTGTCAAGTCACCCAATGTATAATTAATTCTGCTCAGTGAGACACCCACCAGGTGAGGTTGTGCCGGAAGCTCCCATTATACCAGCTGCTTGTGAGTTCACGGGTCCCTCTCATCCTGTGATGGCAGTCTGGTGGTTGTCGGGTCTTACTAACACTTGTTTTTTTCTGTGTGTGAGCAGAGCCACGTCGCCATCTTGTAACAAGTACACTTCAGTAAGCTTCAAACCAAACGCTCGTCGGATCCTCTGCCACCGTCTGAGACGACCTCCCGCCACAACTTTCCGGTAGCAGACTGTGACGAGACAAATCCACTGTTACACCCAGTTTGGTGGGTGACAAGTCGAGTGTGTCACCTTTCATGTGCAACACAATAAATGACTCCAGAGACTAGATCTGATGGTGTGCGCTGTTACACGCGTCATGATACTGAGTCTCACCTTCGTGTGTAAACGTTCAAAACTGTTTAAAGCAGATACTCTTTGACTTACTGAGGTATGAGGTGAGGACTTCAGTAACCGTGAACATAGCTTAACTTTTATGGCCGTGTAAAGTGGTACCTGGTGAGCTCACTGTTCAAATCAGACAAATCTCATCCTCTCTATATGTTACGTTTGTCCCGGTGTGGAGGTGTGTCGAAAGGTTTGCTTCTTCTGAATCAGAGCCGGACTTCACCTTTAGACACAACGAGACTCTGAATCCATGTGTCGATTATGTCTGTCACATGACAAGTCCACCTGTCAATCAGCTCCCACCAACCACCAAGGTGATGATGAACAGTCACCCATCTGTTCCCTGTCGACCAATCAGCCGGTTAGCTCCACGGGGAGTTCCCGGCTGCACAGTGCCTCCCACTGACGAGCGAGTAGCGAGATCAGCCTCTCCCTGCTGTCGGCTCCTGGGACGAAGACGCACCACTGGACCTCACCCTCGGCACCCCCGCCGGCCCCGCCGCCTCTGGGCAGGGTTTCTTCCCCACCGGCCGCAAAATGGTCCATGGTGAGGTGGCAGAGCAAGTCAGGACCGGGCAGGTCATCGAACACCAGTGTCAGAGCCTGAGGGTACGTCTGGTAGCCCAGCAGGACGCGGTCCAGGTCCCGGATCCTTCGAGCCTCACGCAGCTGGTACCGCTCCCTGCAGAAGACCATGATGAAGAGGATGATGACGGATATTACTGTCTATGAACATAACAATAATCTGAAACAGCTTCAATCAAACATCGATCCTATTTTTCTTCTTAATCATGTTTAATGTAAGAAAAGAGATTTTTAATGCATCACCAGAGACATTTAGAATCTTCTCAAATGTTCGATTGTTAGTAAGTCAACTTAGAGAAGAGGAAACTCTCAGATCAACAATGTTTTTGACCATGAACACAAAATCTCTTAGACACTGAAAAGACGTAATCAGGACAGATATCTCAACAACCCGAATGTTTTCATTTAAGTTTTTTTGTGTTGTGGTTATTTTGCCCTAAACAATGTCGGTTATTAAAGGGAAATAAAACGGTATCACAACCTAATTATCAGGACAACAACACCGTGGGACACTGCGGAGAATGATAAGGTAAACTATATAGAAAATCTCCATCAAGATTCATAATAAACTTTTTTAAAATGTCATATTGTGTCTGTATGTTAAACGTTTTTCAACAAAGAGTCAAATCAGAAGGATTTGGCCCTGATAGGAGCTGTTAGTGAGTCAATAATAAAGATACTGGGATTTATATTTCTTTCTTTCTCTGCCAGCCTGTAGTTCTTCCTCCCAGTGACTGACTCAATGCTTCACCGCTCTGTTCTCATGCTACAGTGAATATTGATCTCAACAGTTTTTTTTCCTGCGGGCTCTCGGTCCCTGACTGAACTGTCTACACATCACACTCAGTATCTCGTCTGCCAGCCAGTGTCTCCTCTTCTTCCTCTTTTCCTGCAGACGAGCACAACACACGAGGGAACCGAGTTCTTTTTTGTGGTTTTTTTTTTCCAGGGGACGCTTCTATGTTTCATTGATTTTTACTGGTGTATGTGTTTGATGTGATGTGGGAACCAGTTCTGCTCTTCACTGACTCACTTGTTTTCAGACGTGACCTCCGAGTGAAATCTAAAGAATTGTCTACGGAGTTTACCCAGAGTTTGTCTTTTACACTTGCACAACACAGCGGGAGGTTTTCTGTACAGATGCGTTCACAACAGCATCAAAGCCTCTGCATTATTCAGGCGAGAGGTGGAGCAGCCGGGTGCAGCAGACAGAGACAGGAAGTGACTGTCGCAGAGATCATGTGATCATGTTTACATCACCCTGTCACCATAAACTCTCCTGATATCTTCTACGCGTGTCGCCGCTTTTTAACTGGGAGATATTTGTTTTCTTCAATTTTGCGTCTGTCGTGTGTTAGAAGCGTCATGAACCCCACCCCCCACTCGCTCGCAGTGAATCCAGCGGGGATCGACTGCTGTTCACACGTCGACTTCCCCTGGATTTCTACAGACTTTATTCGAGGAGGTCAGGCAGATAAAGTCTGTAGAAACTGCGGCGCGTCTCACTCAGACATTTGCGTTCATACATGCACCTGAGAAAATACAGAGGATCTGCAGAGTCTAGCGCACTTGGTTGTATACAAATATTTAAATGTGATTATATTGGAGAGGGGGCACGGTTTCACATGTGCTCACCTCGAGGGAGGTTCTTTTGCAAAGTCAGGCAGAGGATGGCTGATGTAGTCCTCGTCCAGTAGGAACACGTCGGTGCTGGTCAGGATCAGGGTCCTGGGCTGGAGAACGGGAGACAGGGCTGAGCCTGAAGCGGTGGAGGCCCCTGAAAGGGTGGAGCCTTGGCTGGGGAGACTGCTGGGGATCTGGACCTGCAGGAAACAAACAGGCAGGAATCGAGAACAATAAAGTTTTAACATGTAAGTCGAAGATATCGTCAGTGTTAAGTCTGCAATAAATTATTTTTACCACTTGGGGGATGTTGAAACAATCTGTGAACACACCAGTAAAACGTGCTTTTATGTTGTCATCAAATTATTAACAAAGTATTAACCCTTGATACATGGAAGGTCTGAGTCATCAGATTTGGTGCGTTCACCTGAACTTCACTCAGAATGATGTGAATATCAGGTGTGAACGGGATCTAAGTAAGAGATTCTTACCTGGAAAACCAGCAGATAGAGCAGGACATTAAAGGAGCGTGATGATGAAGGTGCTGCACTGGCCACAGTCTTCCTCTCTGCCACAATGAAGGTCAGGTCTCCCATCTCCTCCTCACTGGGGTAAATAAACTTCACCCGGCTGCTGTGGACCAGCTCGTAGTTCTGCATCTTACCTGCAGGAGGAGACAAATGTTCTCTACTGAGTGACATTCTAGTTATCTCCCAAAACAGTTAAATGTAATCTTGGGGAAATTACTTTCACCACAATCAGAAAAAAATGACATGAATGTCTTGGATTCAGATTTTAGATCAAATTAACTTTTACTCTCTGTACCAGCCTGGTTACCTGTGTTTGTGTTGGTGAACTGGGAGTAGAAGTCCTGATCTGATGGCTCTGGAGGAGGAAGCTGCTGCTGCAGACTGAGAGCTGACATCAGCTCCTGGAGAAAGACGCCCGTCCCATAACTGTCCCTGCTGAGACAGCACACGATGTGATCGGCTGAACGACCTGCAAGAAAACCAGAACCACAGAGAGACAAGAGAGCGAATCAGTAATGTCGGCATTATTTAACAACAGTTCAATATTCAAACTTATACGAGCTCTGCAGACACGGGGGGTAATGTGTGTGTGTGTGTGTGTGTGTGTGTGTGTGTGTGTGTGTGTGAATCCACTGACCTACAACTCTGAAGTACTGGTCAAAAAGTCCCACATTGACAGACAGCAGCTCAGACAGTCTGATGGACAGACAGCAGCACAGGCACACGTCTGGATCTCCAGAGTCCGTTATCTCCAACACTGACAGACACAGAAGGATCAAAAATAAAAAAATAATTTAACAAAACTGAAAGTCGACCCTCTGAGGCTGTAACGATCACCACACACTAGAATACAAACCTAAAATCTTTCTGATGTGTTCATATTGTCTCAGTACACAGTTTGTATCCAACACTTGTTTTTTAGTGTTGTCGGCTTAATATACGAATATTTTCTGTTCATCCTACCTGAGTGATGACCGAGGGTGGAGGCGGAGTCTTCCAACAGGAAGTAGATTGTGTCATTGGAGAGCAGCAGACAGCAAGTGAGCTCAGCCTCTGGAGACTTGTAGAGAACCACAGACAGCCACAAGACCTGTCTCACCTCCTCTGCCTCAGACTTCAAATAAGTAACACAAAGGGAAAAAAAAAATGCGGGGGAACATTTAAAATGACCCAACGACAACATGAACTCTGCCTTAAGGGCTTTAAAAAAAGATTTTCTTTGAGATGGACAGAGGAAACGTGTGTCCCCTACCAGTGCTATATATTTGTGGAAGAAGGCCAACAGCTGCTGTCCTCTGAGGCCAACCAGGAGCTTTAGTCCCGGGGAGAGACCTGAGATGAGGTGAGGGGACGGCTGGTTCTCCTCCAGCTGGAGATGAGAGGAGTCCCAGCTGAGGGGGAGGAGGAAGGGGCGGAACAATTCAATTTTTCATCCCTACACCTTGCATTCGATTGGTTGGGGACTTGTTGCTCAACAAATCGAATCATAGAGAAATCCAATACAACCTTTATAAAAATACAACAGTGATTTCAGCATGCTTCTCTACAGCTGCTTAACAGTAACAGAGTTTTAAATTCTACCTGCTGTAGTTGTGTGATTTCCTGCTGCTGGTACAACAGCACTGGTCTCTCGATCTGCAACATTCTGAAAACACAAAACATTTGTCAAACAAGGTCACAACACTGGGAGAAGACACCAGAGGAGACCCAACTAAAGGACTCGGGGAGAGGAGTAGGTGTTCACCTTGTGTATGTTCTCCTTGGTGTGGACAGGTTTGGGCCAGGGCCAACAACTTGAGCCCTTCCAGAGAGCCTCTCTGCTGACTCAGCTCCCCCAAGAAGGAGCACCTGTCCCGGGACAGAGGGAAGAGCAGCAGCAGCCTCTGATTTCCCAGCAGCAGCTCCACAGTGTGACTTTTCCTGGACACATGATGGACACGTGATTGACAAGCAGGGAAACTGGAGTACACAACAAAAGGATATTTATAAGATTATAAAATGTGTAAGAATCAAGGTGCTTTGTATTTAATTGTTTAATTTCAAAAACAAATGAAAACTCTAAAATTTCATTAAAGGAGGAAACAAATAATAGTAAAAATAAATATTAAAGGGCTGAATATTGGTTCCAATCTATTGATTCAATAACTTTCAATAACTGATTAATTGCATAAATCCCTCATCCAGTCACAGCCTCAGTACCTCTGGTGGTGGTTTGGGCTGAGGCAGGATGTGTAGTTGGTTCTGCCCCCGAACTGAAGAGCTCTCTCTCTGGGATGAAGCATCACTGAGCTGAGGGGCACACGGACTAGTCTGCACCAGGAGGAGGAGGAGGAGGAAGAGTGATGGAGGTCACCGTTGCGCCTTTCTATCTCTGCCAACTCTCTGAAGTCCAACTTCAGCACCCAGAGGTGTCGGTGGGTGAGGAAGAGGAGAGAAGGGAGGCTGGGTTCTTCTCTCTGGGAAAGGATGTCCGACGTGAGGGATTGCGTGTCTGTGGCAGAGTCGGAGGATGAGGATGAGGAGGAGGGAAGGAGGTGGGCAGGGTAGCCTCCCTGGGCTCCCTGACTCTCCTCTAGCTCCCAGGAGTTGATGAGCGAACGGGGGAGGAGCTGAGGAGTATTTGGGGGCTCGGGGTCAGTGTTGGAATCTGCTGCCTGGAAAAACAAGTAGATTTTTATTTTTAACAATAAATAAATACATATTGACGGGACATATAACCTGTGCAGTAAGTTGGATCTTATCCTGCTCTCTGACCTGCATCAGCGCCGTCAGCTCGGTCCTGGTCTGTCGGAGCGCCTCAGTCTCGGAGAAAATGTACAAGCGGGTTGGACCAGACCGGAGCCCCAAGGCAAGGCAGCAGTCAGGGAGCTCGCCGCTGAAGGACAGCAGGAGCTGGGAGTAAGGCAGCAGGAAGTCCACCTGCAGGCTCGACAGCACCTCCTTCACAGGCGGATTCTGCTCTAGGTCTGAGGAGAACAGGAGTACAAATCGTTTTTAACCTTTCAACTCGTTTTCTTTATGAATTTGTAACAAAATTTGTTCTTTTTTTTTTTTTTTTTAAATCACATCATTCTTCTTGTGAACAGCAAACAAATATAAAAAAAGGGGCACAGCCTTCATGTTTGTTGAGGCTTACCTGCGTCCTGATTGGTCCATGAGAAACTATTTGATAGGCACAGTATTCCCAGCAGTCGGTCTGTCAGCACCAGGCACGCCTGCCTCTGCTCCACCTCCTCCTCTACCTGAAGGCAGTAGCACCACAGAACTCTACTGATGTGCATCTCCTCCTGCTCTTCGGCACACAGCTCCTCCGGGTGGCCGCCGGGCTCCTCTGAAGAAGGAACAGTGAGCGACATAGAGGAGGAGCAGACCAACTCCTCCACAGAGTCATCCAGAACCATCTCAAAGTATCCGTCCCCAGAGCCTGGACTGGAATAATGAGAATAAAGGAAGGAATCAGGAGTCATGCTTTTGTTGTTTAAATAATGTATTTCCTTCTGGTTTAAGAATATGTATATTCATTAATTACTAAACTGTAATCCAATAAACCCAGTGCAAACTTCTGAAAATCCAAGAAACCATAGGGAGGTTGCTGGTTGAATTACCTGGGACTGCCCACCTCTGTGCTCTCCTCATGGGACTGAACCTCTCTGCATTCAGACCTTGTCACGTCCTTCCTCTCCTCCTCCTCGTTTCTCTTCTTCTTCTCCTCCTTCAGTGTGGCACTGAGACACTGAGAGAGGTGAGTAGTGAAGTCTTTGTTGGAGGAGAGGGAGAGCAAGTGAGAAGGAAGTAGAGGACACCAGGTGGCGCTGCACGTCGCGCAATTAATTTCAACTGGTCGGGAGGAGAAAGAGGAGCAGAGGCAGCTGGAGCACGGAGAGAAGGAAACATGGATTTATTAAAACCTGATGCTGTTCTCCACTAGAGGACAGCAGCGTCTTCTGTTGGACACATAGTGAACTACATGTGCCTCCATCTTGAATCTGTTTTAGAAGTGACTTTACTAAGACACATCTATATTTCCTGATCTGCTCCTGTTTTAATTTGCTAACTCAACACACAAATCAGCCAAAATAGCTTTAAATAAAAGTGACTGCATTTATAGTTGTTTGCTTCTATTAAGGAGAAAATATGTTATATTATACTAACCAGACAGAACTAGTCGTAGCAGCAGTAGTGGTAGTAGTAGTGGTGGTAGTGGAAGTAATACTTGACGGAGCGCCACAGGTTGTGTGGTCATTCAGACTGACAGCAGGTTGTTGTCTCTGCAGGCAAACACATTAAACTACATTAGGACGCAGTTGACAGGTAACGCAAACATCAAAACAAGTGCAGTGTTGTCTTTTAGCTGTACTCAAACATTAAAACACTAAAGCAGGGAAAATGTCAAGAAAACTTTTTCCAGAATTTGTCTTTCAGATACGAAGAACGCAGCAGGAACTCATGTTTTCTTGTTTACAGTCCATCCACACCAGCGCCAGCCCTCATCTCCAAAAGCTCTCAAATCTCATTATCTTGCATATATGACATTTTTGTCAGCGTCTTCTACGTTAATGGCACCTTTTGTATATCTTGAAATATTCGTATTCTTTTTGTTTCAGTCAACTTTAGGTCCGTCAAGTGAAATGGGCTCACTTGGACATGAGCTCAGTGCATGTCTGAAAGCAGCTTACCTCACTTACAGTGATCTGGGTGGGTTCAGCAGATGGGATGTGTGTGTTGGTGTTAAAGCTTTCGGGGGGAGGTGCCGTGTCCACAGGAGGGAGAACACTGGGGGAAACTGCGGCTTCTTCTCTTATCGTCACTTCTGAAACAGCAAACCAAACAGATAAATACCAGTGATGATCTGCAGAGTTGAGCGACGTGACTTTGCTCTGGGCTGATTTTTGCATTATTTTTGCAATGATTTTGACATTTTTTGCCACATTTCATGAATCACAATCATTCAGTCAGTTAGTAGAGGTTAGCAGTGAGCATTAGCAGGTTGTCACATGACCTGTAGTCAAATGTTAGTGAATATCAGTCACTGATTAATTATTTTCCTGTTAAGTCCCACAGCTGTTTGTAAATCCACAACTCAATCTGTGTGTAACTGCTCCGCAAATAAGTTCCGTGATGAACAAACTACGTGACGGAGACACGGTTTCTAAATAATATTTAAATTTCATATTTCTTTACTTAAAATGTTTTATAATAATAGACTAGTAGATGTACCCCCCTCCCTCAGCCCTGCACAGCCTGATACATACATGATTACCTTGGCTGGGGCAGGCAGCCTGCTGGGCCGGACAGGAAAAGGTAGAAGTGGAAGAGGTGGAAGAGGAGGAAGAGGAAGAGGAGGTGACAGCAAGAGGAGCGACAGCAGAGGAGGAGCAAGGGGAGGAGGAGAGGGGAGAGGAGGAGGAGGAGAGGTGAGGAGGTGCAGCAGCAGACAGCCTGGTCTCCTCACTGATCTGACGAGAGGACAGAGAGGAGGAAGCCTTCAGAGAGCTGCAGTCACCTACATCATCAACCTGATCACGACCTGCAACCGGCAGCTCGATCAGCAGCAGAGCAACAGTCTGCCGCACTTTATAAAGACCTGCTCTAGTAGTAGAAGTACATGTATGAGGTCATGTTGAAATATGTAAACCAAATTAAGGTTCAAGAGCCAAATCTCTGTGCTGAAAGTTATTTTTTGTGACGACAAAGGGGCCCAGTCTTCAAAATAAAGGCATTTACTGCTTAAAAGTTGGGGAAATTAACACTTGATCAAACAGTTCAGTTTGGTGATGTCCCATCCACTAACATAATAACACCTTTACTGGCGGCAGCCATCAGGGGGCAATTAAGTTTCAGAGTTCAGTCTCGCAAACCTGAAGTTTTTATGTCCCATATTTTCATTACATGTCAACTCTGCAGCTGATGTAAACTGTCTCTCAAATATAAAAAGATCTGATCGTTGGTCTGCAGCTGTTCTGACCCCAACACACAGATAGCTGATATATACAAGCTGCTGTGGTGACGGATGTGATACATCTTCAGGCTTCAAAGATATGTGAGTAACTATCATGATGTCAGAATCTCTACTAGTCATATCTAAGTGGGGGGTTTTGTAGTTGTGGTGAACTCCGACTGGTCGATAATCAGGTTAGAATCATAAAACCACTACAGCAAATTTCCGGGTTAATCAATCTGAAAACTATGGTAATAGAATACGACACAGTTTCAAGAATGTGAGCCACTCATGCGAGTTCAAATGTCACAGTTAAAGCAGTGAACAACATGAATGAATTTCTGATAGTGTGAGTGATAAAATATAATATTCAGTGCTGGCAGGTAAGATCATCGTAGCTCTGCTCTTTCACAGTCTGAAAGAAAGTCAGATTTTTTATAATCACAGTGAATATATGGATACAAATGAATCACTTCATTACGTAAACATTTAAGATTTCTAAATGATTTAATAATCTGTGTGCCAATAAAATGTACTGACTATAATTCCATGTAAACAGATGATGCAGATCTACTACTTACTGGTACAAATGCAAAAAAAAAGAAAAGAAAAAACGAGTACAGACAAAATCTAAAACTACTACAATTAATTCACTTCAGTGTGACAGAGTGTNAGCAGGCGTGGCCAGCTGCTGGCTGTCCTTTGACAGAGACACCCTCCCCTCAAAGTGAAATCCCTAAGATGCTCTGTATTAAGAAAGGCAACAATAAAGAAAAACTAAATTAACAATAAAAAACCATAGTTACTGGTACAAATGCAAAAAAAAAGAAAAGAAAAAACGAGTACAGACAAAATCTAAAACTACTACAATTAATTCACTTCAGTGTGACAGAGTGTACCTTCTTGTCGCTGCTGCTCATCCTGTCTTTGACTTCTTTGGCTTTCTGAATGGCTTTCAACACTTCCACTGTGTCCAGCTCCTTCTCTGTCGTCACTTTACTGTCCAGACAAACCTGACGCAAAGTCACAGGATAAATACAAGAATACCAGGTGTATGAATAAACCAATAAAATGATATACTAGTATTCATACTCGCGTGAGCAGCTTTTTGACATATTTATAGAATCAGCAATTGGAGCAATAGCAGCAACAACCCTGATACTTTCATGTCATGTCAAATTACATGTAACGGAAACAGTAGAGAGTGAAAATATGTTAAGGTTGTCTGTGTAATAGTTCTACAGTAGTAACATGGACAGTGTGGTCATGTACCTCTGCTGTAGTAGTAACAGTAGTAGTACAGTAGTAATATGAACAGTGTGGTGGTTGCGGTCATGTACCTCTGCTGCTCGGTCTCCAAACTGGGTCAGGACTTTGGTTCTGTAGTCTGGGATGATGCACATGGGATTACTGGACAGGTTGAGTTTCTCCAGACAGGGCAGAGAGCCGATGTTCCGAATCTCCTCCAACTGAAAACATTCAAACATTCAACAATCACTGACTCATTCAATCATTCTTGAGTCGACAGTGGAGCGATGACAGAAAATGATCAAATAGAGGTTATGATCATTTATTTCCTTCTTTTTTTAATGATAGTTCATTTAATACCTTTTGTGATTGATACTTTCTATGTAGTTCCTGTAATTATAAGAATGCACAAATTTGACAATGACACATTAAAGAAATATCAGGACTTCCTCAGCGTGGTTACCTGGGCGAGCTGGTTGTGGCTGAGGTCCAAGTTGACCAGAGAGTAGAGCTTGGTGAGACCAGTGAGCCGGTCCAGTTGGTTTCCAGCCAGGCTGAGGGTTTTTATGTTGCCCAGACGGGTGTGAGCAGCCTCAAGGACCCGCAGGCTGTTGTAGGACAGATCCACGTGGACCAGGTTGTACAGGTGCTGCAAACACAAAACAACCAGTTCTGTACTGTCTTTTTAAGAACTCAAAACACAAAAGGCTTTCTTTTGTTTTATAGCACTATAAACTCAAAACATGACATTTGAAAACATCACCCTGGACTTATTGGGAGAGAAAATCATCTGAAACTTAATATATATTATTATTAATATATAAGATATTTCCTAAATGAATCAACATAATCTAGAAATGATACTGAATGTCTCCACTGAGCTGACGTGGTCACACACCTGGAGATTTTCCACCGAGGTCAGCTGGTTATGACTCAGATCCAGAAACTCCACCTCACGAATCAGTTTCTAAAACAGAGAAAAATTCCGTGTCAGCACAAAGAAACTGATAAACAGAGCGTTAACTTTTTTGTTGTTCCTTTATTTACACATCCAGATGTTTTAGCTCAGTGTAAATGTGTGCTCTGACCTCCAGATATAACAGCTTGCAGGTAAAGGTTTGTACAGTATCAGTGTGTATTTTTAATTGAACACAAGCAAATGTAAAATCACCTGGAACTGCACGACACAAAATGATCAGCTGTTACGACTGCTTTGTAATTTACAGGATTTAAGTTACTCGAGCTCATATTCTATATTTATCTCAAAAACTCAAAATGTGTTTCGTTTAACAAGTTCAGTTAAAATGTGTCTCACCACTGAGCTATCGATGGTGCTGATGCTGTTATGGCTCATGTCCAGCGTGGTCAGGTTTTTCCACACAGGGATAACAGCAGTGACCGGACACCCAGTCTCCGCCCCCTCAGGCTCCCACTGTGAGAACTCGCTCGCCTCCGGGACCAGGATCGACTGGAGGACATCATAAAGATCATACATCAGTGTACAACCCACTTTAAACTGCTTAAACATGCAGCACTATTTAAACTCAGCTTTACCATCATTGTTTCCGAGGAGCGGTGGATACTCATGGTCGCCAGACTCGACCTCAGCGAAGATAAACCTTGAATCTGCTGCGAGCTGCACTGACTGATCTGAAGTCAGACACACACAGACGTTAGGATTTTCTTCACATACTGGCAGAATTTAAGTTAATTTATGAACTGCATGAATTAAAAAGCATTATACATTGATAAAATGTAGATTGTTTAACCCACTGGTGTTTCTGGTGGCAGCTGGTGAGGGCAGCCACATTTAATTGTTAAGTCGACTTATCACGTACATCGATTATCATGACGTCTGTTTTGCTAATAAGTACAAGTGAATGTTCATCAGTACAAACATGAGGTTTGTTGCAGCAGAAATCCTGCATGTGTACAAACAGATAGTTACCTCTATCTGCAGCAATGATTTGAAAACAGACAGGTCGAACGGGAGACTGTTCTCCTGGATGTTACTGGTTCCAACTGGACCACTGGTACCAGAGATCTGACCGACAGAGACAAAACCAGTGAGAACATTTAACACCTAAAAGGGAAAAAAAAACAGCAGAGTGTACGATTTGGAAGTGAATGAAATAAAGAGATGTGTGACCTTGAGGTATCGCAGCCTGCAAGTGAAGTCGAGGATGTGTCCGAGGTCGGTTTTGGCATCTCCATTACAGCAGGTTGGTTTGGCCAGACGCAGCTGCTGAGTGACGGAGTAAAGCTGCAGAGGATGGAGAGAAAACACCTCGCCAGCCTGCAGCAACTGCTCACCTACAATACACACACACAAACAGTGGTGTTACACTCAATGTCCGTGCAAGATTTCATCTAAACAATTTACATTTTTGCAGGAAAGTCAGTTAATGTTGTTTCTACAAACCAGATGTTGACAACAGCTGCAATGTTTTTCATACGTTGTTAAGCCATATTTGTGGCAACATGAACTGTAGTTCAGCTCCAACAGAACTAATCCATTAAAACTGTATTTAAATATTTAAAAAAAGGTGCAGTTAAATATCTAATATGGAGAAATGTATTGAACTTAATCGCTATTTATCCGATGTCTCAACTTAGTTTTGATTTTTGGAAAACATGCAGCATTTTTAATAATGTCCACTTCCTATAAACCCAAACTTTAAATTTAATATGTATTGTCCATGATGAATAAAGTATGTTAGAGCATTCAGGCTCACTGCAATTTATATCTTTACTCAACAACAGTGTACAACAGTTCTCAGTAAGAGCCTCTGTCTCACCACTGCACTGAAGTCATATCATGAACCGTTCTGGAAATTCTAGATGAGAGAAAATGGGCCACAGGAAACTAACCTTTGTGGAACAACTCCTCAGCCAGTGCTGCTGTGATGCCGTTGATTTCCTGAAAGAGATAAAATGTCTGTTAAAATTTGATTCAATTAAATCCTCTTTGCTCTAGAGCTCGACCATAGTTAATATTTGCTGATGTGATCTTTTCATGATAATGTTTTTCCGACACACTTTTTTGAAAATAACTTTATCAACATTAACAAGAGTTCAGTGGAGGAGAACAGGATTTTTTAGATAACATGATGACATCCTGGATTAGTGCAACCACATTTAAAAACATCTGCCGAGGCCTGAATCTCACGTCAGACACTGAACAACACTTCAACGATTTCCTTCAAAGACCATGTTAAAGTTAAATAGAGTTAAAGCATTGAAGCCTGTGAATAATAAACAACGGATAATTTCTCTGATTATTTGGACTATAAACGATATTCACGTGTTGATCATCTCACATCATATGAGAAGGTTTTCCTATTGGCTGTTTACTCTGCAGCTTCTGTGAACTCAGATAACACTGCACCGTTGTTCTGTCTTCATCATATGATCCCAGTCTCTGACATCACACAGCCTCAATCTACTGCAAAAACTGATCTGGAGCAGAGATTTGAATTTTAAAAAATCTGAATTTACTGAGTAGAGGGAAACATATTTACTGTGTTCTCTCACTTCTAACTTATCCTTTAAACATACCAAACAGTTTCGTCTACTGTTGACATGACCACTGTGAAAGAATCTGAGTAGAGACTCAACTGAGGTTAATTAAATTGAACTAAATTACTTTTTACCTGGTTTTTACTGTACCTTACCATCAGATCAGACATTTATTTAGAAAGAGGAGTTAAATGAGTCAGGTTTTTCCTTTTACAATTACAAAAAAAAAAAACTGTTGTTTCATCTAAAAGAATGGCAGAAAATAGTGAAAAATCAAATTTTCTCAGAGTTCACAACCTCAAGTTGCTTCAACAACTAAAAACGAGAAAAGCAAAATCATCAAACTGAGGAAGCTTTGACAAGAGAATGGTTATTAAAGACATGAACCAACTCAACAAAAGTTAGGAGACTCACAGGATACAATTTCAAGAGAGAAGACTGTTGTGTAAAACAGTCTGAGAAAGACCATTTCCTGTTTCAACATGTCGAAGGTTATAATATATAAACTCAGATGTACTCACATAAAGGTGAAAGTGAAGGAAGGAGGCGAGCGGGGTGGGTGTGGCCTGTGGGAACTGCTGCAGCAGCGTCTGCAGGTACAGCTCCAGCTCCTTCTGACGCCGCTCCACCAGACTCTTTGAGTTCTTTCCCAAAATCTTTTTAGGAGGAAGCAGCCGTCGGTCAACCTTCTTTTCTGCCGTCAGCTGGAAGGAAACACATGTCTAGATCAAACCAACATTTAATCTCATCATAATGTAATAATCATTATGATATTAACTTTTGGACTGTTGCTCAATAGTTTCTGGGGAATTGTGACTCTTCTTATTTTGTAGAGTAATCAAGAAAATGGTAAGATTTACTGAACTTCAAAAGAATCCTTCTTTCTAAATTTAGTCTGGTTTGTTCGTGCCTCATTTCTGGGAAGCATAATCCCATGCATGTTTTCTCCACATTCTGAAGCAGTTGCTTTCTGTTCCCTTTCATTTTTTTTAACTCAGACTTTTATGCTTTAGTAAATTAAACACAACTCAAAACTATTTCACGTTACTATCAACACATTTTTCTGCTGGCAGATTTATAATCAGTCTCAGTCCACAATCATTAAACATTTTAAAATTATTCAAGCATGAAATCCAGGATAAAAATAGACGCATTATTGACACAGTACAATTTGGTTGCTAACTGATTGAATATTGACAGTAAACGTCAGCTGGTTTTCTACTATTCTAATAATAATTTAAAGACATCTGATTCAGTGCTTTGTGCTCTCACTCAAACCGAATTAAAGACAAGAACACAAGATTCATGTTTGGTGAAATATTTGAGTCTCTTACTTTCTCGTGGAGGTCGTGGAAGTCACTGTAACGGTGCTTCACAGTCCATTTGTGATCTCCATCCATCACCTCAATGATGTAAACCTGAAACGCCAAATAGCAAAAGTTCAAGAAACACTAAAGACCATCTCTGATCAAACACATAAGTTTCCCCTCTCACCACATGGACAGATTACACTCTAACACATTTTAAATATGGACATTGCAAGTTATCCACAGAACGACGACCAGACATTGGACGATGAATCTGAACTTATCGATTGTCTCTCAGCTATTTCTTGACTCATCAAAGAAATCATGAATTCCGCAACAAATACACTCGCCATATTTAATAAATGTTTAATAAAGTCAGTGCATCCACTATCTTGAGCAAATTAACAGAGTACTTTACTACTTGTCCTACTTCTATGTTATATAATCAGGCTCTGGTCTCTTAGTAATTGTAACTTTGGAGAAACATCTGGCACAGTTATTTTCTTTGGGATTGATGAAGTTCTATCCTATTTTTTTATCTTACAAAAAACTAATTTGCTCAAATAACAAGAGGCTAAAACTTTACTTTGCCTTTTGCATGATGACAAGTTTTCACCATATTTAATCCATTATTAAAAAGCTAAGTTTGTATTTATTTTGATGCAAATCGCTGATTTCACTTTCATACTAATGCAACACAAACTGTGTGGTTGCCACTAAATGCCCTGTGATCAATTATACAGACTCATAGTTGACTCACTTTTAAATAAGAGAGTTGATTATCTTCTTTCAACTCCTGTCATCAAAAACGTACTGATGGAAGTCAGACTTTTAAAAAGGAACGTGGTTGATTTTTTATTTTATTTTATTTTCCTGGTAAAGCAAAAATGGTTGAAACAGACTCTCTCTTAACTTGTGGTCAGAAACACTAAGTTAGTCTCACGCACGACTTTGTACAGCTTCAGTTATTTATCTTTAAATCTGGATTTATATTTGGCTTCAATGCTCAGTTACCTTGTTCTTTAAAACATTAGTATTGTCACTACCTGCATTATTCACAGAGACAGCTTGTGGTGGTTCTGCTGGTTAAGACTTTCATTTCACTGCATTGCACTTATCATCTATCTCTCTCTCGATCTGTGGGACTCTGGACTCTCGCTCCCGTTGAACAATCGTATGATTCTCAACAGACCAACATGTGTAAACCTACCGGAACGTAACATTGGACCGTAAATACAGTGAGAAGGATCCCTGACACAGACGGTGAAGTGTGAGAACTTCAGAGGAGACGACGAGAACACTCTGTCACAGTTAGCAGTAGCACGGCAGCTAGCTGCTAGCTTGTCAGCCCTGTTCCCGGGGACCCCCCCCCCCTCCTCCTTCAGGAGGATAAAGACTTAATGTCTGTCAAACAATTAAAACAACTGTTATAACTCAACAATGTGTGTGAATTTATTCTATCGTCTCTGACATTAACTCCCTTTCACTTTGACAGAGCCGGGGGGGGGTGGGTGGGTGGGCTAGGCTAGCTACAAGCTAAGCTAAGTGACGTGAAGCGGGACGTGGCTTACGGTGTAGTTTTCCACCGGCTCCGAGCCGACAACACACACTCCTCTCTCCGGCACCTCCGGTGGGAAAGGACCGGGCTCCATCCTGAGATCGCGGGAGACCCGATGTTCAGTGAAACCAACAGAAAGTCGTTCTCGGTGAAGCGGGTTTGGAGGATGAGCAGCGTCTGCCCTCAGTCAGCCGCCTCCGGACGCCATGTTTGTTGTGATGTGTGACCGGAGCAGCTGACTTACATTTACACACAACTTTATTTACACGGACAATCGCGGTCAACGCCTTTTTATTATTATTATTTCTTATAAAAATCAAATTTCTTTAAACCTTTTGTGAGTCAGACGAACATAAAGAGTCAGACTCAGTAAATTCAAACAGGTTGAATATTGAATCATTTTCTTATATAAAACGACTTCGTGTTATTATTATCAAGCAAAAAAGATCCACTGAGTTCATAATAAAAATCAAAAGGGGAACAGAGTTCATGAATTGTGGTGATGAAACCACATTTTGTCTTAGTTTTTAGGGCTCAATCTGGATGATATGGCCAAAATATAATTTCCACAGTGTCACAGTATTATTATTATTATTATAATTAAGTTTACAGACTGATTTTTGCTGCTGAGTGAAGGTTGTGGTTTTAAACTTTTCTTTATGAGCAGAGAACAACAAACTTTTGAAGGCATTTTACCACAAGTTTCATCGAGGTTGAGTATTCTTAGAAAAGGCCATGTTTCACCATTGCTCAGTATTTATGTCATGCTCTGG